TCCCCCCCCGCCACCCGCTGCCGGCTCTTCGCCGCCCTCCGCCGCCCCTCGCCGCCCCGCCTCCTTTGCCCCCCCGCGCCCCGCCACCCCCGCCGCCCCCGCCGCCCCCCGCCGCCCCCCCGCCCCCGCCGGCCCCCGCGCGCCCCCGCCGCCCGCCGCCCCCGCCGCCCCCGCCGCCCCCGCCGCCCCCCCCGCCCCGCCGCCCCCCCGGCCTCTCCGCCCCCGCCGCCCACACCGCCCACCCGCCTCCCGCCCTCGCCGGCCCTCGCCACCCTCGCCACCCTCGCCACCACCCTTGCAGCCGCGTACACCACCGCCCACGCCAGCACCCTCGCCACCCTCGCCTTCGCCGCTGCCCTCGCCGCCGCCTTCGCCGCCGCCCACGCCATCGCCCTCGCCACCGCCCACTCCGCCCTCCCCCTTCCGCCTTGTCAACCTCCTCCGCTTCATGCTCCCGCTCTGCTTCTGCATTCTCTGTCGCAATATCAGCTTCCTCCCACATCGGCGCCCATGATGCCTTTTTTCCCATGACCCCATCTATGATTTCGTCGATGAGATTTTTACTCTAGACAGTGGTTCAATTCCACCCAGCTATGACGCGAATGCCAAATCTCTGCCGTCGGTACTCGAATCTTCGAATATATGGATCAACGATTCTGCCAAGACAAGTGTCAGCTGAGCTATCACTGACAACAGTATGGTTCCAAAACGTATCGTGTCATCGATTAATTGATTGTTTTCCACCTCGTCAATTAATGTGGTCATTAGTCCTATTCGAATAGTGAATATCTCACTCTGCAATATCTGAAAATCGGCATCGCCCCAGCCAAGTCAAACACTATCCTCCCGACTCGTATCACTACATGTGCGGAATAGGGAATAGAATAAGACAAGGAAGAGGAAGGAAAGCAATGATCGAAGAAACCGAAGAAAACTAGCGAGCAGCCGGAGGCTACAATTCTCCTCCAGACACCGACGGAACTCGGCCTAGTATGAACCTAGTGTAGATAATCCGTCTGTTATCCTCATATATAATCCGCCAGTTTATCCGCCACCGTCGGAACCAGACCTCTAGGTAATGGTTGCCGCTGAGACTGCGGCAACAACGGCTCTGAGATAGCTCAACCGGTTTGAAGGAGAGAGTAGGCTTCTGTGGGCGGCGTCAGTAACTGCTTGGCTGTCCGGGAAATGCCGCGTCCTAGGCGCAGGGGCCAACGTTTCGGCCGCCATTCTGCGACCTTCCTCAGGGCGAAATCCGGAAGGTCGCAGAATGGCCGACGAAATGTTAGCACCTGTGCCTCGGGCACGACGTCTCCGGAACAGCCGAGCAGCTACTCGACCAGGTTGACTCACCCAAAAACGCACAGCTGGTGCTGCACCAGAATATGGAGCGTGATAAATTGAATATCGACGCGGCGGCGGCGGCGGCGGGGCGGGGCGGAGGGCTACACGCAGGGTGTTTGTAGGACGCGCCCGGCCCGTCATTCAAAAGCCCCGACGCCGTAACAGCCGCCGCCGCCGCTGACGCGATCGCGAGAGTCGATTCTTACGTGACTGCTCGCGGCGGCTCCTCATTCGTTCACGATAGATGTTCTTTCGAGTGACGGTGATGGGGTGGCTTCGAAACACGACGAACTTGTATCAGGGTTTCATTCCAGAATTAGGACAATAACTCAAAAAATATCACAGTAATGTTGAAAATATAATTGAATCGATGATTTGGAGAGGTAAATAAGTACTTATTTCATATTGCTGACAAAAAACGAACTTAATAACATCCACAGTTGGCATCTGTTACGTTTATGTTCTTCATAAAAGTTGTAGAACTAGTCGTTATTAATTGCTTGGGCTTCTCTAACTTCAAACTTGCATTTCTGACGTACAGAAACGTTTGTATACCCTAGATTTATTTCATTTATAAAATATTTAATAATATTTTATTGCTTAATTTTTGCACAGATATAGTATGAATGGGGTAAAACAAGAACGGTATATGTGACATTTTATAAATTCTGAGAAAAACGTGTTAATTTTAGGCTACATTTCAGTGGCAATGTATTTTCGTGGTTTAAATGAACAATTGAAATACCATGGTTTTAATGATTAAACAAAGCACTAAAACTTTACAGTAATGTTGACTTAAACAAGCAGATTTCTCTGAATTTATAAAATGTCACTAATACAGTTCTGTATTTCACCCATTCAATGTGAATTAACATATTCTGCTTTGTGCTGTGAAAAATACTCTTACTAAATTAGTTAAATCATCTCATCATCCACTTTGGTCTTTAGCTTTGTCAAAACTTTCTGGCAGAAGTGGAGATATTCATGTGGGATGTATTTTATTATTTTTTGATTGTCGGTTATTTCCTTTCTGTTCATTAGAAAAACAGCTGAGCCTTAAACTTTCTTGGATTGCAAATCTGGACATGCCTTCTCTTTTGCCAACAAGAACGAGTATGCCATTAGCCCAACAATTAGTGTACTAACGATCCACGAGGTAACCAAAATATTCACTAACTTACTCAAAAGTTGGTAGTATGAAACTTGTATTCCTAAAAACTTCTCATTTAAAATACCTTTTTCTTCCTTATTCCAATATCTCAATGTTTTGGATTTTGTTTTTCATCGAATATCATGGCAAATGTAAATATTGGAAAGTAAATACTATAAAAATTGCATTACAGTATAATCCAAATCTCTATCTTGCCTTTAACTAAACTTTGACCTAAACATTTCTATTCCAATATTGTTTAATTCCATTTGACACGGCCCATGCGTGCAATTCTCTCCTGCACGACGATTCCCCAGCGGAATGCTGAAATTGATGCCGCGCCTCCAGGCTTCGACGACCAGAAGGAATCTGTGCCAGTAGGTGAGAATCCAATTGAAGCTCAAACGCGGTTAGTGTTATTCCGTTCATTATGAAGCGGCGGCGGCGGCGGTGCGGTCAGCGGCCGGCGGGGGCGGTGGGGGCGGCGGGACGTCCCGAGGCCTGCGGTTGGCGCCCAGGGCAGGGCGCGGGACAACGTGTGCTGCGGACCGCCCGCCGCTCCGTCACAGTCCACTCTCTCCGACGGACGCGGATGGAAACCCCGTGCGGAGACGATGTTTGATAGACAATTCCGGTAAAATAAAACTTGGTAACCCAAACGTCGTAGGCTCGTTTTTCTGTAATTGAAACTTCGATGACTCGAGCTTTGATGGCTATAGCTTCGTTGTCTCGAGCTTTGGTGGCTCGAGTTTTCATGTCAAGAGTTTTCATGACTCGGGCTTCGATGACTTGAACTTCTGTGTCTCGAGCTTCAATAATTCTTCGATGACTCGATTTACAATGTCTCGAGATGTGATAGCTAGAGCTTTAGTGAATCGAGCTTCGAATTCTTAAGCTTCGATTAATCAAACTTCAATAATTTCAAGTCAATAGGATTTAAAATGACGGTAATTATCTCTCTCTTTTCTACCAACAAGTTTCCAGTTTCTTTGGTTAACTTCTTTACAAAATTACGAGTAACATACAATGCATAATAATTTAACTATGAACATATTGCACAACATTCTTCAAACACCAATATTATTATTTAAATCGAAAACTCGATTTTTGAAAATAAGATTGAAATTAAAAAGAAGATAAAATAAAAAAAATGGGCAGGCTTTTCTTGAAACAACATAGTCTTTTCGTGATTATAATTTTTCTTTCATATGTGACTTTCATGGTTTTTCTAACTCGACATTTTAATGTCTCCTTCCTTCGCTGGTCCGCCTATATCAGGATATCAGTCTATCCTGCAGAGAGGGTAAGGGGCTGTCATTGCTACTTGCTCTTTCAATCCCCATCACTTCAACTGATATTTGCGGTGTTGGCAGCGGTTTCGTGGTATTGTGCCTCCGCATTCCGTGCCTCTCAAACCACAAATAATCTATCGTTGTCCCTTGCAACATTTTCACCTTCATCTCATTGAATCGTTGGTCATTACTTTTACAAGGAGATATTATGGATCAGAAAATTGGAATCAAAGAGTAATTTTTACACAGGCTAGCGTTTTGGCGAGCCAAACATATGTTCCTTTGCTAACATGTAAAATATTTTATCCTGCAAAACTGTTTTACTAGGTTCCTGGCTATACTGTGTCCCACGTAAGGGCAGTAGTAAACTTTATTTTGCAAATGGAAATGTATATTATTTTCTAATTAAATTAATTAAATAATTAATGTTATTGAATTTATACTTAGACCACTTTATAAAGAAAAAGCGTTTAACTCCCTCATAAATGTCAGATAGAAGGTACTTTTATTATTTTAAATTAATACACAAAATGTTTTAATATACATACAGTTCACAAATCTGTCAATAATATCCAAAATCTGCGTTGTTTCGACTTCCCCCGTCAAATGTGGAAGTCAGCTAATTGCATACGCACTGGAAGTGGAAAATACGCGCCTTCCTTCTAAGTTGGGCATGATACCATCACCAGAATATGGATGTGGTTGTATGTGGCATGTATGACATGTATTGAGAGCCTTGAGACCATCGGCGACCTTATCTCAGTACTCTCTGCGGGGTACTTAGGGCACTGGAGAACTCAGCGGCCGTAGACATTTTAACATTTTAACCCGAGTGACTGTAATTATTAGTTATAAAATTATTTTTGAAACGCCGTGCGCGAAACTCAGTTTCTTTGTACTTGTTTTCCTTGTGCGAAACGGCTAATTTGTTTCATATTGTGCGAAATATCGTCAAGAGTGTGAGAAACATCTGTAACGATTCGCAATTACCTTTCGTCTTGACGATGTCTTTTTCCATTATTTACAAGCATTAGTGTTACGACACTGACTGAAATCCAATTACTATAGTTTGAATAAAGTATTTCTAGATATTTGATATTAAATTCATATTCCTTTACTTGTCGCATTTCTCGCCCGTGTTACGTTAATTACTATATTATGTGTGTTTGCAGTGCCTTGCTTTGTGTTAATGCCGTGTTCTCGTTTCGTTGCAGGCAAGAGCTTTACGTTAACCATCACGGTGAGCTCGTCCCCGCCGCAGATGGCGACGTACTCAAAGGCCATCAAGGTGACGGTGGACGGCCCCCGGGAGCCCAGGTCCAAAACCAGTGAGTAGTCACCGCGTCGTTCTCCTTCGGTTCTGGAAGTGGTAGTATCTTTTATCTCCTCCATCTTGCCTTTGGTTACGAAAGTGCTAGTACCTTTTACTTCCTCCATCTCTCCTTTGGCTATGAAAATGGTAGTACCTTTCACCTCCTCCTTCTCGCCTTTGGTTACGAAAGTGGTAGTACCTTTCACCTCCTCGATCTCTCCTTTGGCTATGAAAATGGTAGTATATTTTACCTCCTCGAACTCTCCTTTGGTTATGAAAGTGGTAATACCTTTTACGTCTTCCATCCCTTGTGGTTAAACTGCTTGGTGTAGATCAATCTTCAGAGTGCTCCTGATAGGGCGAATCGTGAATAATATACCTATAGCCTAAAGTATTCCCTGATGTAAATATCAATCATTAAGCGCATAAGAAGTGTATTTTCTTTACCACATTAAATCCAATGAATCAGAAAGCTAAACAGATCAAAGATCTGACTTTTGCCTTTGGTTCTCTGACAGAGTTAATCCTCAACTACCAATACATCAAATTTGTCCCTGATATAATGACCAACATTATTAAGCGCAAATAAAGTGTACCATTTTCCGTACGAGAAACTTTAAATCCAGTGAACAGGATGGCTAAACAGATCAGAGCCCTGATATTTGCCTTCGGTGAGGGGCGCTCGTATCCAATTTTTCCTTGATCCACATTATAAATCGCATATGATGTGTCCCATTTTCCTTACGAGCTACCTTAAATCCACCGACTGAAATGACTAAACGCCGCTTCAGTCGTCCACCCGTGGTCTTCTGGCCTGGACTGAAATAACTAAACGCCGCTTCAGTCGTCCATCCGGGGTCTTCTGGTCTAGCGAAGCGGCCCTGGCAGCAGCGCGGGCGGCGCGGGCGGAGGGGGCGGCGCGGAGGGCGTCTGCAAAGAGGGTGTAAACAGCCTCTGCGCGGCGCGGCGCGGGGCGGCGCGCGCCCTCTCTGCAAGGGTTGCAGCGGCGGCGGCGGCGGCGGCGGCAGAGGAGGCTCCGAAGGGCGCCCCGCCCAGGACGTGCGGGCTCCCGTTTCAAAAGCGCCGCCAGCGGCGGCGGCAGCGTCTGTAATTTGTTTAAATATTTAGACGCCAGTGAGAACTTGCAGTGAGGGGCCGAGCCACCGCCGGCTGTACGGCCGCCTCCGCGGCTGAGGCTGTGGCCCCTCCCTGCTACCTCCGTCGGTGCCCGCCGCCCCTGCCGCCGCTGCCATCTCCGCGTCTTGCCCCGCTGCTTTACCACTTCGCACCTTTCCCCGTTCCTCGATCCGCTACCGACACGCTGCTATCGCCAGCTCCACCTCTCCCCGCCGTGCGCACCTTCCCCTGCTGCATCAAATATATCCCCCGCCCCCCACCTCCCCTGGCCCTTCCGGTGGCTCAGGGCATCGATGTGACTGCAGTGTCAATGACCGGGGGTTCTTAGGTTCGAGTCCCGACGGTAGCAGGATTTTGAACACTAACAGGTCGTAACGTGATAATTCAATCCACCTCTACCATCGCCCTCTGTAATCCCTGCCCCCAGTGTCGCAAATGCCACCGCCTCCGACGTCATCCTTGTGGCCTTCAACGTCTAAATCTTCCCTTTTTTGTCAAATAGCTAAAGCAAATTAATAAGTCGTACGTTCAAATATTGTGTATATTAATTAAGAAGAAATACTTTAGTTATTTGTCGTTTACTTGAAAATACGGGAAAGGTATCAATTTATCTGTATGAAATTGCCAACTTTGATATTCATCTCAGTTAACTCAGCCACTTTAAAAGTTCATTTTTTTAAAAAATTTCCACTCATCTTCAGCGCATTCAACACGTGTTCCATTTAACCGTTTGCTTTAGCTGTTGGTAAAAAACATGCACTACTTCCTCAATCACCGTCCTCGCCGCCTCCGCTTTTGCCTTCGCTGCCTCCGTCCCCGCACGCTCTCCCACCTCCTCTCCGGCCGCTGTCGGATCCCCTCGGAAGGGTGTTCGACGGGGGCGAGACACGTGTAGTCGTGTAGGGTTACTGCCGCCCCCGCCACGCCGCCTGCGCGAGCGCTGCGGGGGAAGATGAGAGCTCCTAATACGAGCGCTACCCCCCCCCCGGCGGCCCCGCCTCTTCGAAATTTTGTTGCCAAACTTACGCTAATAAGGGACGTGTTGCGGCTCCTGTTTATCAGCACTCCCTGAGCTACAGAAGCTCTCCAGGTAAAGGCAGAGCGGTCTTTACAGATCTACACTTCACCCTTATCGCCTTTTACACTGTTACTCTGGATTACCTACCCTGACTGTTGTTCACAATATTCGCCGAGCCTTCTGGAGACTGCTACTTCGAACAGGCTTCAGCTTAGTTCAGACAACTTCATGTTGAAATATATTTTTCAATATTTCCTTCAACAATTTACTACTCTCAATATCCTGAAATCCAATTTATTTAGTAACATAATCAGCTGATTCGTTTCTCATATCTTCAAACTACATTTTAAATCGTTTTTGATGATTCGGTAAATAATGTTTACTTTAAATTTAACATAACTAAACATAAAACTGAATATTGTATTAACCAAGTTTGTAAATTGTGCCGACGGCCCTGTTACTTATTATAACACCAAATTCTTGTTAGGGACAATTAAATTGTTCTTAACGGACGTCGAATTTTGTAATCCTTAAAGGACTCCAGCCGTTAAGAAGAGCTTTTCATTCCGCTGTTCTGTTACGCTAAATCAATATAACAGTATAGTATCACGCAGAAAAATAAAGAGCCCAACAGCTAATGTGCGTATGTCGCCTACGTCTTGCAGTGTGTGTGTGTGTACGTCCAAGCTCTCTTTGACTGAACCGCACTTAATTTTCGCGAGTCCTCCACACGTGCCTCTCTCGCGTCCTCAAAAAAGACCTCAACGCGCCGACCGCTTTGACAGCGAGGACGCTATCACTTTCAGTCCTCAGTCCTCAAACGCGGAGGACGCCAGGGAGGGAGAGGTAGCTCTGTGGCGACGGTACGTAACCCTTTTTGCGTTGCTTACGTGTGTGAAATGGATAACACGGTAATGCAATGACAAAAGCGGTGCAAGGAGGTTGAACTTTGTCAGAAACGTCTGGCTAAGGAATATTGTTGCGAAGTTGTGAGGAGTGACAGAACATTGAATTGAATTGAATTGAATTGAATTGAATTGAATTGAATTTGCCTTATTTTACGTGGCGAGACTCGGGCCATCAGGCCCGCTCTTCCGTCTGACCACGCAAATTTCGCTACGCTCCTTTCACCAACTAGGAGAGAAAGGAGGTATTTCTTGGGCGAGAAACAGGCGATTTGAATTTAGCTCAGAGGCGTCATTTAGGCTTGACGATCTTTTACATGCAAGTAAATCTACGAACATGGGACAGCCGGCTTTACTTCCTCTCCAAAGGAAGGCGTACGAAGGATTTTTTTGCCCTTAAAAATCCACGGCTTCGATCGAGTTTGAACCCGCCAACAGTCCAGTATGCTAACCGTTACACCATCGCCGCCCGAACATTGTGTAAAGAAATATAAACATAAAGGTTTCAGATATCTAATGCCGGCTTTTGCTAAACGGGTTAAATGATCTTTCTGTCATTCAAGAGATGACGTAGGAGGGGACACGATAAGGTACTCGATTCATTTCCAGCGCTTTCACGGCAAGTATTTTACGTACTTTTTTAATCCATAGATCATTTCTATTCATTTATAATAGTTTTAAAATTCTGACAATTCTGACAACGAAACTTATGTAGCTTTATTTTAACAAATACTTCAAGCACTTTTATGAGATGCTTTTGGCTTCGTTGATAAGAAAAGATTGTTATTGAATTCAACTATTAGTTCGACGACTATTACTTCAATTATCAAAATAAATAACGATAAATAAACGACAGTTACTATAAATACGACAATGAATTCTCATTGCTGAGTGTTTATAAACTCGATCAACTGGTCTTTTTTATCCATCTTGTACAATACATTTTCTATCAACCAGCACTTCAACTTACATATGATTTATTCAATCATATCTTAATGAGGGAATATCTGTTAGGGATGACCACTTAGCAAATGAAAGTTAAATGTTTGATTCAGCCGTTTGTATTTTGTGGAACATTTTTAATAACTTCAAGCACGAAGGTGAGATTTTATTTTCCAATATACATTAAAGTTTGTAACATGTCGTACATTAGCTTATAAAATATGTCGTAAAATTACGTTGTAAACTTTTAGTTATCACCAATTCAAATACACTATAACACACAACTTCACGTACCACGGCATAACGAACATTACTCAAAAAAAAATATTTCCATGAATATTACTAGAAGTAACTTCTCCCTTCGTACTCTCACCTCGGCGTTTTTTTGACGGAATCGCACCTAATTTCTGCGTACTCTTTCGTGACACACGTCCATCTTATACAATAATTTTGTATCATATATCTAGTAATTTTATTTTTGGATCAATCAGCATTTCAAGCTCCTTATTATTTATTGACTTACATCTTAACGAGTGTACATCTGGTAGGGAAGACCGATTAGAAAATATTGACATCTAAATTTTTTATGAAGCCGTTTATATTTTATGGAATGATTTAAATAATTTCTAGTCTGAAGTTGAGGTTGTATTTTCCAATATACATTTAAGTAAATTACATTTCGTATATTGGTTTGTATAATACGTCGTAATATTTGTATCGCCAATTCAATTATAAAATAATACACATACGAGCATTCACCACTTAACGTATACCATTCCAAAAATCACATTACCACGAACGTCACACGAAGTCCCTCACCCTTCGTACTCTCACCTCGGCGTCTCTTTTGACGGAATCGCACTTAATTTCTGCGTGCTCTTCCGTCACACACGTGGCTTGTGATTCCGCACGCGTAGCCCACTTTGTCGGCACGGACCCTTCCCTCCCCCACTCTTAGTGTGCCCTTTGGAGGGCGGTGCAAAGGGCGCCGGCCGCGGAAGTTCCTTTCCGCCC